GTGTCGATGTGCTTGTCTTACTCAAATAATCTAACAGTCGACAATCAATTCGAACTCAGTATTCTAGTATCTATCAAGGAGCACCAGATACTGAGATCTTGAGCAGTTTAGTTCTTTCCAGGGCCCGGTGATTGTCACATAGCTTCGGGAATGTCTTCTGGGTGTCTTTGTTTCGTTGGGGGGGTTTTCTTGTCTGTCAAGATAGCGCTTGCCTGAAATCAGCTCGTCGTATATAATAATCTCTTTGGGGGTGAAAGGCCAAAGCCGTCTATGCTGTGCACGTGACTTGCCAGTCCACTTGAGCTGGGAACACCCCTCGGGGCGCTGCCACTGACTGAAGTGTCTTTAGGCCATTCCCAAAGGGAGGACATTTCTCGTTCTAATGCACAGTAGGATTGTAAATGGACTGACCCAACAATGTCATGCTAATTTAGTAATAACTGTGCATGAACTACAACAGGGAACTGTTGCATTTTCTTTCCTAATCCTTACTATCGTCATTTTCCACTACTTCTTTTGTATGTTCGTCATACTCTTGTGAACCGCTATTTCCGTGGTGCCTTGATAGCCGAAGCAGACTTTTGTGCTGTTGAAGCTAGAGAGGTGAGCAGAGTAAGCTTGGATTCACTGTAAGGACTTCTCAGTTGACATCCACCCGCCTTGGCGCCCATATGACCTTAGCAGTTGCGCACCGTAAAACCTCTACCCCCAATTTTTTTTTTTAAAGAGCTGGGAACGTTGTAGGATGTTGTGGATCATGCTCTGCGTCTTAACGGTGTCTGGGACTGTCTTGCTACAAAGCAGGTTATATAATGTTGTTATTTATTAAAGGGGGGGGGGGGGGGGGGGCTGCACCTGAAGGCTATCTCGCTTATTAGAGGACCAAATTTTACCATATTTCACCCATTATTATAACAAGCATAGTAAAGAATCTAAAAATCCGAAATCAAATGTGAGAAAAAAGTTTCGTTTCCATAGATACAGCGGCCATATTGGATTTTGATGACATGTCCAGAGACAGTTAAATTATATGTCTTACGTAATGAATACCGCACTTATCGTTCTTGGAAATTGATTGTTGGTTTGTTTTTGTGGGGGGGTTTTGCATGTGTGTTAGAAAACGTTAGATCTAAAATTAAATTATCTGTTGATTTTTTCCTGAACAAATTAGAGAAATTTTAATGAATTTTTTCCTCAGGTTGTATTCAAAATCCGTGAAAATCCACACTCCAGATACCACCAACAAAAATCTATTCCATATACATATATACATAGTTATATATACATGTATATCAAAAATTCAAATTTTAGAATTACCTCTTCTCTTCATTCTGTGAAAATTTCACGAAGATTGGATGAAAAATTGTGGAGTTATTAAAAAAGTATAGGAAAAAATCGCGTTTTTTTTTGGGAAAACGGCCGATAAAGAAAAATAAAATATTGACTTTATGAGGAACCGGTGGCCATAAACATGCCCGGTATGGGAAGAAATAAGGCTTTTATTGGGGGTTGTAATGAAATGAAATAGTTGTAGGAGAGGCTGAGGAAGCTAAAAAAGCCTACAACTCAAATTCCATGATTTTGAGCCGAATTGGCCCTTTGGGGGTCCCCCCCCCCCCCCTTTCGTCTTGACACTGTGCAGGGTCATGAGGTACATGGTTATCCTATGTGGAAAGCACTAACTGCTTTTACAATTAATAATTATTTGTCTCTGGCAGATTTTTATTATTAATTGTTATCCGAGTAACGTTAATTTTTTTCCTGCAGAAAAAAAGTGAAATGGCCTCATGGTAAAAGTAGATGTTCTTCTTTCTGTATAGGTTAATAAAACTTTTAATTGTTATTCAATATTACATGTCCATTATAATATTTAATAACTAAATCAGAATTCGTGCGTTGAAAAAAAAAAACGATAATCAAGAGATGAGCTAATAGTAGTGACTTTGTGTCCATCACAATTTTGTTACTCTCTGAGAACACTGCAAGAAGATTAAAAGTAATGGAGGATGCTCTGTGGGCGGCACCGCACGCCTGATAGGAGCCCTCTCTCGCGGCGGAACCGTGGGCTACCTGCGCTGAGCGAATGCTCGACTCGCGCACTGAAATCTAGATAAGAAAGAAGGTTTTATTCCGAGGTCCTTGAGATTAGGCAAGTCAATTAGTAAAAATGCCTTGCATCTGTGTTGTATTTAAGTGTAAGAACCGATATGATGCTGCAGTGGACCGAAGTTTTCACAGTTAAGTTGTTTTCCTTTTAAAAAATTTGAAAGAAAGTGTTTTTATGCCCCCAGCAACATAATTTAGATCATTAACATTCATAAGAGGCTGGCTCCGCGCTACCTGCCAAGCCAACCCAGGCTGAAAGGGATACAATAC